TAACACAGAGTTAGAAAAACTTTAGTATTCCAATTCGCAGTTGGTGGGGAATTCACACGCTCCATCACTTAAATATTCCTACTCACTATTACTATTTGGCGTGTTCTAGTTGCAGCAACAGATATGAGATTGGTGTGCAGCACCCACAGAAATCTATTTTTCATCCAAAAGGCGATGTACCACCTGGAAACGTTCTCTTGGCAATACTTATTCAAAATAAATGTTTTTGCAATAAAATAATGTTTTTTTCTAAAAACCGATCAAAAACACATCGTGTTATACAAGCGGTTCGATATAGCTTGACGCTATGGTTTCTCGCACGCGATTGGTTTTCTTCTAACCGAGAAAAAGAAGAAAACAATGAGATTTTAGGGAAACTCACAGTATGCAGGTTTTCAAGCTGTTTTCACGTAATATTAAAAAATTCACAATTCACTCGAAACACATCAGAACGAGGTGAAAACTTCGGGATGTAGCTATTTGTGTAAGTATAACATAATTATTCGATCGAAAAAATTAAACAAGCGTCTTTTTGGGGAAACGTTTTCTGGAAACTTCCGAAAAACCTTGGGGTTTGTAAATTAAGTTTTGTGGATTTCTTCCAAATATAATATCCAGGACGATGAAAACGAGATAAAAAATGACGCGTTTATGGCTCATTAATGAGTCATTAATGTAAGATTAATTAGCCGTTTTTAGAGACATCTGCCTCTTGACAGAAAAATATTTTCTTAATCTTTTTGTCTCTGCATCAGTAGGCAATTGAGGTAATGTTTTTGAATATTTTCTCTCTTATGCTGGAAAAAATATTTTTCTGCTTTTCTTCCTTATGATTGGCTTGTCCATGAAATATACAACAAATACTTTTCCGTGCTTTGGGCACAGAAAGACCCACACACAGACAACCATTTTGTATGACCCTAGACTAAAGTCAGTCTATTTAAATGTGCATTAAAAGTTATAGTCTGAATGATAACGTGATCAGTATGGAAGGCAGGCTAAAGGATCCTTTTTGATTACTAGGGGAGAGAGGGATCAAAAGCGTAGAAAAAATGTTTACGTAATGTTGGAACAACCGTCAGGTTGATAGATTTAAGCTGTGCTCTATTCTCTCGTTCTGTACTGCACGTATTTCTTTAAATACATAATTTTAGCCTCAACTTCTGTTAGAACGAGAAAATAATACACACTTTGTTTAGCACTGGATAGAAAGAGAGAATAGCAGAGAAAAGTGAAGAGGAAGCTAATTTAAGACTAACTATTAACGTGAATTATAAACGCTGTTCTGCGGTACTGATTTTTTTGCTATTATTTAGGGTTTTATTGATAACTACAGTAGTATGTGGAATCTAAATATTGGTGACGTAGAAAGTCGCACACACAAAGAACACAATAAATTTGCTTGAAAAACGTCGTCCAAAGCACGAAAACTCCATAAATTCAGACGATACAGATAAAAGCTTTTCTTTAGTTTCGATTTTACTTCGATCAAATGAACGTTTTGATTTTGAAATGTCACAAAATGATAACAATTCTATTTTCGACGACTTTCAAGTCGAAGTTTAAATAAGTTTCGAACAAGCATGTTTGGCTTTTGTAATCTTACCTGTTCAGATTTTGTTTAGTGCTAGTTTTATACTGACCATAGGATAATATATCTGTTTTGCGCACTATTGTCAGAAAAAGCAGAATGCGCTCGGATGTTTTTTGAATAACGTTTAAGAGGAAAGTGATAGATACTTGCGGTCTTCACCAGTTAGAAGCCAAGACCTGACCGCATCTTTCCATGACGAAAGTCATTTTGAAAATTTTTTTCTACATTCTACTCATTGTACCTGCAGGAATAATTCTGTCTAATTATTTGCGTGTCTATTTTTCATTTCGAAACTTCGAACTACATATGTAGTCGAAAGAGCGCAAAAAGCCAAACAAAATGTGAGAAATTTTATGATATCCAAATTAAAAGTTAAACTAGTGAAGGTTTCTAAATTAGAAAAGTCTTGGTTTTAGTAAATGATTTTTACTACTTTCTCATCTACTATTCTCCATCCAGAAAAACTCTGATTTTTCTGATTCAGTAACAGTGTCTTGCACAAAACAACAATTAACGATCACTTTCTTCATTTTTTCCAACTTATTCTTACAATATTACTACCCTTTCATATATTTACATAGGTAATGTACTGAAGTAGTTATACCATAAAGTTAATTGTTCTATTTACAAACAGTTTACTTCCAGGTAAACACAGTCCTTCGAAAAATTTCATATAACGACGACTGACTATATACACAATCAGAACGTACCACGTTTTATTCTATGTGTTTATCATGAACTTCACGGAACTTGGTTTACCGCTTGAACCAGTTTATGAACATTTTCCCAAGAATTTCAAGAGTTTAATTAAAAGGCATATCAAAATACTTGTGCTCATTGCTCTATTCATTATTGTCATCAATATTGCACTCGTGGTCTGTTTAACTTTATTTCTGAGGCCACATCCACAAAAAGAAAAGCCTTTTCTAGTATATTACACTACAAGACCACCGATTCGTCCGCAATCAAGACAGCCTGTTACTGCCAGACTTCCCTTAGGTAAAGGAACAAGTTTTGTATCTATTGTAGTAGTGGTCTTTACAGGTAGATTATCGAATCTTTACGTCTTTAAATAACATATAGTGGTAGCGCGCACATTTCTGATTAAAATGAGACATCCCCCAGCTCTACATGACGTTTATTTGCAAAGTTGTAGAATTTACAAGAAAAGCCCTAAATGTTCATTGTCGGCTCAAAGCTACAGAAATAAGAAGAACTTAATTCAGGGCTTTTCTTGTAAATTCTATAACTTTGCTAATAAACGTCATGTAGAGCTGGGGAATGTCTCATTATAATCAGAAATGTGCGCGCTACAATTATGTCTCGTTTAGAAACGCTTTGCTTATTTTCTAAAGTTTCCGAAAAACTGGTTTTCTACAAAACTGGCTCTTAGAGAAACATTGGGGAAAATGCTTTATGCCACTAGAATCAGCTCGTCGAGCTCTACAAACTGGGATCTCTCCCATTCGAAACGATGATTCACACTTGGGAACCTTCCCTCGTAAGTGTTAATGACACTGTATTCACTCTCCAAACTATCGAACATTCCAAACAAACGACTTTCAGGGTTACTTATCTCAGAATGAGTCGAAGGTTTTAACTGAACGTACTCCTCTGAATGAGAAAACAATAACGACTCACCCTATCTCTTCGAACAATTATATCTTCACGTTGATTATCAATATCACGCACTCGATCATTCATATTTGCATTAACTTGGCGATGATTCATATTTGAATTTTGAGGATGGTGCGGTTGGCGCTGTTGGTGTCCTTTTCTCATTTCATTTTCTTTCACGCCCATTTGCCAGCTAAGTTGTTGACTGTTCATTTTTCTTGCATTTAAATTCTTCATGCAAGTGGACATTTTAGTGTCAATGTCCCTATTTTGATTTTGTAATTTATCCAATTCAGTTTGATCGTTCATTTGTATGTTTCGGGACTTCTCGTACTCCTGTTTTTTCTTTGTTAAATCATCTCTGTGTCTAGTCAACTCATTCTCTTTACTCTCTAAGTTTCTTTTAGACTCATTAAACTTGTGCTCAGCTTCTTGTTTCATTATTCTTTTTTCATCCATTTGAGTAGTTACTTCATTCATTTTTTTCTGAACATTTTTTGCTTGTCGTTTATTATCAGCGAGAATAGTAGTAACTCTTAGTTGTGTCTGCTCATGATTAGCAACTTCAGATTTTTTTGATTTTAAATCATTATTTTGCATTTTAAGACCATCTGTTAAATGATCCTTTTGATTTTCCTGTTCATTTAATGATCGTTCTCTATTCTTTAAGTTACGATCTAATTGAATACGTTCACTTTCGAGACGGCTTATCTTTTCCTGTAAAGTTTTCGTTTCATCTTGTTTCTTTTGCTTTTCTGTCTCTTTTGCCGTTCTTTTTCTTGTTGCATCTTTTTCTAAATTTTGTTGTTCACGTAGTTCAGACTGTAATTCAGTTATCGACTTTGAAAGCATTAGCATAGCTTGCCGAGCATTTGCAACTCTGCCTTCAATAACTAGTTTTTCATTCTCTTTCTGTTTTAGTTCCGATTCAAAGCTTTTTATTTGTTCACGTTTCTGTGTAAGCTGCTGTTGAACATTACTTTGTTCCTGCTGTGTACCCGAGATCTGTGTTTGTTTTGCATCTTTTTCTTTAATTTTGTTTTGTTGTTGAGCAGTGAGGTTGTTAAGTTCAATATTGGCTTGCTCAGCAAGCTTCTTCGAATCGACGGCTTTCACTTGAAGATTTTCAGAAGCCGTCTTCAGTTCTGCTGTTTTTCTCTCTGCCGTCTGTACTTTTGATTTGTTCTGATCTACTTTTTTCTCTGCATTTGCGACTTTATCTTTCATCTCTTTATGTTGACGTTGAAGATCATTGTGTTTTTTCTCAACTTCAGCAACGACAGCTTTTTGTTTTGTTTCGTTATCTTTCGCCGTCGCCAGTTCTTGCTGTTTATCTCTTAGATTTTGCCGACATGTGTCCAAATTACATTTTTCTACTTTAGACACGTACTGAGCACTTTCACGTTTTTTAACTACTTCCTGATAGTCACGAGTACGTTTCTCACGTGTTCTTTGTCGTTCAGTCAAATCGACTTTATTCTTTTTCACTGTCTTTAAGATAGCTTCAAGTATGTGTAAAGCCGCGCTCACTGCTGTAGAAGCTCCTAATGAAACGATGGCCATTGCAGCTGCGGCTGCCTTAGCGGCTGTTAAAACAAATTGTGCGGCTTGTTCTTCCTGCTCCGATCTTTCTAATTCTGCCTGTGCGCTACGTTCTTCTTGTTCGGCTTGCTCACGTCCTCGTTTAGCTTCCAATTCTTTCTGTTGACAGTCTTGGAGTGCCTGTCTGGCTGATGTTTCCTTCTGCTCTTGTCCACGTAAATCATCTTCAGCCTTTTTCTGCTGTCTTTCAGCTGTTCTCAGAACAGTTTCACATTGTTTATATTTTTCCTTCTCGTTTTTTAGCTGATCGTGAGCTGAATTGTTAGCAGTTTCCAGAATGTTTGACTGCTGTTGCAGATTGCTGCGGTCAGTTTCTAGTCTCTGCTGTTCCTGTTGCAGTGTCTGTTTATCTCGCTCAGCTTGAGTGTGCTCGTTTTTCTTGGCTTCGAATGTCTGGTTGGCCTGTTGTTCTTGTTGTTTTAGTTGAGCACATTCTGTCTGCTTCTGTGCAACTTGACGACTAAATTATCAAGAGAAAAGAAAGTGTGAATTTTCTTACTATGACTCTTCAATCACTTTTTTGACTTTACAAGTTGTTTAGAAAGACACCGTCGGATAAACTGATTTATTGCCGTTTTTTAAAACTCTTGGAAAGCTCAATTTACCGAAAAACGTCATTAAATCAACTTTTCCGCATTGACATGAAAAACTAATATCTCTGCGATGATCTGCGTGTTCGATAATATATGTCTGGACGTTTTTCGTCTCGGTAAGTTCGAATTTTTCAAAAAGTTAGCCTACGAAAAAGCCTCAGAACTCAACGAGAAAGCATAATATCGGACATTGCTGAAAAACCATTCGAAAGGGTCGAAAGGGGTTCTTTTACTCTACAAAACTGGCAAAAAAAAGACGAAAAAATTTTGTTTTGCACAACAGGCTAGTTTTCTCAACTTTCGTCCACTAACATTAGACTGGAAAATATCTGAGAAATTATTTTCACAGGAGTTGCGTGCCTTTATTTGCTCTTTCGAATGGTGAAAAGCGCAGATCACTAGCTCATATTTCGTTATGGAATAATCAGTATTCTCTCCACCGATCTCTCTTTCAAAAATCGGTAAGTTAAATAGGATCGATTATATTTTAAACAAAGGTGCATGTGGTACAATAGAAGATTCTATCCTACTAGTTCTTAGAAACGTTTGCAGGTTTATGATTTCCTAGCAACCTTCAACCCAACCTAAAACCGTTTGTAACCTTTACCTAAGCTAGACTACAAAGTTTGTAACCGTAAACTGACCTAACCCGCTGTATTTTCCACCTAAACCTAATAAAACCAATAAATAAGGTTAAGATTAACCAATAACATTGTTACTATTAAAGGGCAACAATAAAAATAAGAATTACACTTAAGTCCTTAGGTTAAGATTAACTTCCAGGACTTTAGACTTCTTGGTTCAGCCCTAAGCTTTGCTTGTCAAGCACACTCGTTTGACCGATGTTATCCAAACGAGTTTACACACATGCGGGATAAATTATTCCTCTTCTCTTTTCAACTAGAGTTTTATCTGTCAACTTTGATCTGGTAAAAATTAACATTTTACAGCACCAGATAGCCTCTACTTTAGCTTTGCTAAAAGTCTAGATCTCACCTTAATTCTTCGACTTGTTTATTCAAGTTGCTAAATTCTTGCTGTAATTTTTGCAGTTGATTAGCCAGCTCAGTTGCTCTATTTTCCAGTGGTTGGATTTGTTGCCGTAACTGATTCAACGTTTGATTCAACTGTTCTATTCGTTGTCGAATCGGAGTTAATTGTGCTTCCGCCCGCTTTATTTCCACCATTAATTTTTCCTGCTCTTCTTTAAGCTTTTTTTCATCTCCTTTCTTCAGTTCAATGATTCCTTTGATTTTCTCAATTAAATCTTGAATAGTCTGAATTTGAATTTCTGTTTGCTCAATTTCATGCTCAAGTTTTTCAATTACTCGTTCATTTTCTTGAATTTTTTCTTCCGTTTTCTACAAGGGAAAATAATATTTGTGCGATGAAAGATCTTGTAACTTTCTTCAGTTGATACACGACACTGACTACAATTATTCCAATAAGCTTTTTATTTCCAGCTGCCTACATTTCGGAATTATATTCCACTCAAAAGTGCGTTGACGAAGCAAAACCGTAACCAAACAGAATGCCATAAGATGTGAATTTTTCGCTAAATCTGATGTGAAACTGCGCTAAATATGCACGAAAAGCACATGGTTTTGTTAATTTTTTGACGCGCTCTTTGATGATAGACTTGGTTCTCAGATTTGACTTAGTTTAAGCAATAGGAACGGTAGTTAAGGTAATTAGCACTTGGGATTATGAGCTAGGACAAAAAATTTTTTATCAAAAGTTGCACTGTCAAATTCTGCATCGACTGATGTTATTTAAAAGATTTTGGCACAAATCTCTTGGTTAGGACAGGCGAAATACTGAAAACTTCCTACAATTTTGTCCGCTGAAGAAAAATGGCTGTCGCTCGAGCTCAGCCAAATTACAACCCATCTTAATGATTTTTACACCATAAACACTATAAAATGCCCTCTTTCTTTTGGCGGAAGAATTGAGTGCGCAGCTATTAAGGTGGTCGATAAATATCAAAATAAAAAAGTTCCTGAAATAATGTCACGTACTTTAGATAATCAAGTGCGCTGATCATCGTGGTGAAGTTACTTTTTCGACTGAATGTGACAGAATTGAGCTGGAAGGATTTTTGAAAATTCAGTTTTCTAAGCGCCAAGTCGAAAAATGCCGTTGACCCAGTTTTGTCTTCAGACGAAAAGCTAACATCACCACAAAGATCAGCGCACTCAATTACCTATGTCTATCCACTTTTCCGGCTTATAATTTGAATTTTCGAAAAAGTGGTTACACAAGGGAATGTCAGGATGTCAAGGAACAAGGAAAATTTTGGTTAGTAATTAGATGCCATTCGAGGTGGCACTCGACGGTCTACAAAACTGGCGGCAAAAATCAGAATAAAAGTTTTTTCGTTGGAAAACACGTTAATTTTCTCAATTTTCGCCCGCTCAACTTAGGCTGAGAAACATCTGACAAAACTTTTCTTTTGACGCAAATTTGCGTCACCAGACTTGTTCTTTGGAACTGTATAAAGCCGAGATCGCTAGCTCGTTTTGTTAAAAAGATCAGGTATTTATCTCGTGCATTCTTCTCAAATTCCGATAATAGATTGAGATTTCAAAGTCCCATAATAGATTGAGATTTTCGACGAAATTTGAACGTAAAATGAAAGAGATGGATGGATTGTAAAATTGATGGCGAAGAAAGTTTTGGAAAAAGGGGCCTTTTTTGTATGGTGTTCTTGCACTGCTGCGCTATCTTATATTCCAGTTGAGCGTCGCAGTCGAAAGAGCATTCAGACCTCAACAGAAGATGTGCCTAGAGGATTTCTCTTGTGGGAAATAGATTTTTGTAAGATGCAGGCAACTCAAACGTCGAGTAAAATTTTTTTCACATTTTTTTTTACATCATTTGATAGAGCGCGAGCTGCTGATCACGAAAACCTACTTTTAGCCTTAGTAAATACTTCCTTCCGGTCGCAAAATATGAAATACTGCGAAGGGCTCGTTTTTCGAAAAAACACATCGTTTTCAAAATGTGCAAAATTTTCTACTTTGTTCTTCTTTTCAACTTCTGAAAATATTCTTTTCGGATTCAGCATAGAAAACTGAGTATAGAGATATCGCTAAAATGACTCTAGACCCAAAACTCTATTGGTGGTGGCGCTTCGAATCACAGCGAGTCGACTATGTATAGATCGATTTTGTAAACCTATCTAGTTTTTCTACGTAAGTGATGGAGTCAAATATCTTATCTCATTCGATTCACCATAGCATCAGTCATAAAGTTACAGACCTCTTTTTCTTCTTTTCTTTCTTGTGCGTCTTTCCATTAACGTCAACTTTTTTCGAAATTTTATTATACTCAGTTTTCTATGCTGAATCTGAAAAAAATATTTTCAGAAGTTGAAAAGAAGAACAAAGTAGAAAATTTTGCACATTTTGAAAACGATGTGTTTTTTCGAAAAACGAGCCCTTCGCAGTATTTCATATTTTGCGACCGGAAGGAAGTATTTACTAAAGCTAAAAGTAGGTTTTCGTGATCAGCAGCTCGCGCTCTATCAAATGATGTAAAAAAAAGTGTGAAAAAAAATTTTAGTCGAAATTCGCATTGGCGGCACCTTAGATTGGAAGCAGGATATGACAGGTCGAAGTAGCTTGTCGTATTCGTTGAAAAAATGGTTTTTAGTAGGCATTCCACAAAACTGTCCACCTAATCGGTCAAACCATTTTAGCCGGTCGATAGATATGAAAATTACTTTTAGCGCGTTTCAACATAAACAAAGAGCCAGCTGACTGATTAAAGAGCTTTTCTTAGGTTAATTGGTGCAGAAGAGCTGTTTCTCAAAGCTTTGAACTGAAAAAGAGCGTTTTAAAGATTACCGATATGAAACGATTTCAATCAAAACTGGAAAAAGTGTCTTGTCTTAATTCTCTAAAACGCTCCTTTTCAGGCCAAAACGTTAAAAAAGCTTTCAGCACTAATTAGCCTAATTTGAGCGTCTTAATCACTCAGCTGGTCTTCTGTTTACGAAAAATGTGCTAAAAGCGGTTTTCAGGCAATACTTGTTTCTGGAAGCAAAAATCTGAGTAATGAATTTTCGAAACGATAAGGCACCAACAGGCCGGCTGAAACGATCGACCGATTCCAGGCTTGATTCGCAGTATGTCTAGTTTAGGGTGACAAATTTTTCGAAAGAAGTACAGATTTTTCCATTAGAGCATGGTTCTTGGTTTGGTATTTACTCGGTGTGCGTCTCTACAAACGCAAAGCATTTTCAGACTGCTAATATCCGGACAAAAATTCATACAAATCCTAATCTTTTCCAAATATACTATAATATTCTGTATCCTCGCAGAACAGGCCAGAAAATTTTTTAGCAGAAACGTCGACAAAGCAGGACAGAATAAGTGAGGTATAAAATGTATTATGTACGAATTTCTGTTTTGGCTAAACGTCTTGAAAAACCGTATTTTTTTTTGATTTTGTACCATCTTCAAAAAAGCTCTTACCTTTATTTCCACCTCATTTCTTCGTATATCCTCTTGAATTTCTCGAATTTCCTCCTGAGCACGACGAATTTCAGCTGCAATTTGACGCAAGTCTTCTTGTTTTGTTTTAATATCTTGTTCTAATTGATTAATTTGCAGTTGAATTTGATTTATTTTTAATTCTATCTGTTGTTTTTCCTTTTCCAGCTGTTGACTCTGTTCTTCTAATTGTTCCTTCTCATCTTGACACTTTTGCAACTGTTCTCTCAGTTTTTCCAATTCGGTTTTAATTTGATCGAATCGTTCTTTATTTTCTTCGTACATTTCTTGTAGTTTTGCCACTTCCTGTTGAAGTTGTTCTTGTTTATCTTGAAGTTCTTTAATAACTTCGTCCAATCTTTGTTGTTCAACTTTCTTAGCTTGTATTAGATTTTGTACTTCTTCAATACGTGTTTTGTTTCTCTTTTCTTCTTCTTGCAACTGAGCTTGCTCACCTTCAAACTGCTTCAGTTCAAGGTCAGTTTGTGCTCTATCCTTTGCCAACTGTAGTATTACATTCTGAAGAATCTTTTGATCTTGTTCTTGCGGCTGCTGCTGTTGTTGTTGATATTTCTGCTCGTCGCCATATTCATCATAATTGCTTGCCATTGTAAGCTAGTGGATGTTCTGTGGTAAGTATTATTGTTTTATTTTCTCTTTCTGAAGTAGAAAGCGTATCTCTTTATATTAGACCTGTTGAAAGATGAAAGAGAAAGAGAAAGAGAAAGAGAAAGAGAAGAATATGCTAGTCTTCTATTTCTTTTTCTTCTTCTCTTTCTCTTTCATTGCTATTATTAATATACAAACGTACTTCTTTTTTTCTTTCTGTTTTTTTCCCAGCCGTATTGCGCATGGAAGAGAACGATATTATTGACTCAGAATTACAAAAGAAATAGAAAAGTCAGAGTCAGCACGAACAAAACTATTCAAACACGTTTCTATTGTTGTAATTTTCCTTTTTCATCTTACTGGGAGAAATCCCCGTTGTTCACACTCAGAAATTGATGTCTATATGATGCCAAATTTCATCATGATTAACTGCTAGTAAAAATTCTGACTATTTTGGAACTCTCAACCAATCTTTCGTTAAAACGCCGTTTTGTTTTTTCACTCGAGTTTTATTTTCTTTGTTTTCAACCGAACTTAAGGAAGCTTTAGTGCGCACAACGTCAGTTGACAATTTCATCACATTTAAGAAAGGAGCTAATCTAAAACGTGTTTTTTGTGTTACACACTGGTCGTTTGCAATCTCATTCACATACCAACAACCCTATCATTCATGAAGATAATAGTGTTATTAATTTATGATTGGAGTCGATCACATCTAATGAAACCAATAACTCAAGTAATGTAGACATACATGGAGATATTACGTCAACCTCTTTCTCGGAAACCATTTTCTCCAGCACTAGTTTAAAAAAGTTAAAAATCAGAAAATCAGAAAGCGATCAGAAAAAACCTCCAAAATCAGAAGAGTTGGCAACCCTGATCTGAATACCAGAAGTCTACAGGGACTGTTCTTTCTTCTTCTCTTCTTACATTTGGGAAAAAACCCATTCATACTATTTTATCTACTCTGTTTGTAAAGTAATCTGAGAACAGACGCTGTCTACTAAACATTACAGAACATTCAAATAAAGTAAATCATTAAATATTCATAACGTTAGAAGACACGATGCTGCTTGTCCATGTAACTCTGCTACCAGAGTGAAACTCAGTTACGATTATATATATATGTATTTTGTTTCTCCTATAACTTCGAGCGCGAGGCGCCCATGGGGTGGGGGGAGATACCCTTAAATCGTGCACATCATGTTTAAATACTTTCAAAATAATTGGCGTCGAAACAACATTAAAACCGGTACCAGCTAATTTATTTGTTAATGTAATAACATATTTATTTATATCATTGAAATCGGTTAGTTCTATCTTTTTCTGTCCTAAACAATGGACTGTTGCATATACTTTAGCGCTCGTCTCAGACAACGTTTTTAAACGTGATTCTAACGGATCTGAATTAGATGATGAATAATTATGATTTAGTAATGATAATACAAAAATCAACTTACATCTAGTACATATATTTTGAGCTCGAGGTAACAGAATACCAGAGAGTGCTTCTAAAACTGATGATTTCTCTTCCTAAACAGAAGTATGAGATTCTCTCAAATATGATTGAAATGGATAGATGCGGTGTAATACACCATATATATTCCCTTGACTGTACGTCTAGAGTTGTGTATTCGAAATTATTCAAAAGAGGTGGGTGTCCGTCCACATAAAAAATAATGGGTTTGCTATCAAAGACAGTAGTATGTTAGCTATGTTTTTATTAAATAACAATAAATATCTTGACAACAATTATTTTTTGTTAAGTGACTTTTTCATTTTTATTCGTTGTTTTTTCCTTTCAAGAAAAAACTATAGTTGAACTTAACGTCTGGTTTGTCGTGTTCAAATGTTACGAGAGGTAGAATTGAACCTTTATGTTAATTTAATTTAATCCTGTTTATTTAGACAACTGATCGAATCACGAATATTCATTGCAAGTTGTTCACACACCCACGCATTTATATATACGTAGTTAAACGCTTTTTAGCTTGCAGAAAAGTGACAGAACAGAAAAAAACGACAGAATGCACGACAGAATAGGAAATAGGAAAAGGCATGGCAATAAATAAAAAAAATGAAAGTTCTAACGAGATAAGAATAAAAGGCATTGCTTTGAAGTTTTAAAGTAATAGCTGAGCTAATAGAATATATGAGTGCACAGTTATTGCAGTGTGAGAAAAAAAAGTCCACACAGGAATTTGGGGATATTCCAGTTCCTCTGCATGCCTAGATATGGGGTATTGCTAAAAGACGCGAACACCCACGAACACCCCCAAATTAAAATCTGAGTTAGCCAATCGATAGCGCTCGTCGAGCTGAGTATAGCAACGCCTAACGAACACCCAAAAAAGTTTTTATAGTTTCGCTTTTTAAGCATACATTTTCAATGAACACCCACGAACATCCACGAACATCCACGAACACCCAAAGAACACCCACGAACACCCACGAACACCCAGAAGAAAGGGTAAGAACATCCAAAAAGGTGTGCCAAATTCAACTCCAGGTTGTTCTGAGCCTACTAGCACCATTTTCAACCCGAAGAAAATATCTTTAAGGATTCTTAAAAAAATTCACTCTTTCAGATATGACATAACTACAATTAAACGCTTTTTTTTGACTTCACAGTCTAGACATCTAGACATATTATATATCATAAGAAAGCCCGTGAACTTCTCTACAAAAGTGCCATT